CTAAAAAATGACAAATGACATTAATACCCTCATGTATTTACAGCAATTATCTTCTAACTCTATATTTTGAATGATTGCAAAAAAAATTCAAAAAATCTTTTTTAAGGAGGGTAAAATTTGAAGTCAAAGCCAAAAATTAAAAATGGATAAAAGTCAAACTGAGAAAAAAGTTTTAGGACGGAGGGAGTATGTATTAGACTAATATGACATCCATATTATTCTTTACTACCCAAATTAAATGCTTCCTCAGTCCCACAATATTTCTCCTTACTTTTTTCATCCGATCTAAAAAAAAACTTTTCTCATTTGTTTTAAAAAGTCACTTTTATTCATATTAATTCTTAACTTACTCATCACATCACACATTTTCACTATTAACATACTTATCTCATGCTTTATTTACTCATCACATCAATGGATATCTTTTTGAAACTCAACACAAAAATACACTTTTCTTAAATTTTCTAAAAGTCAAAACTAGAAACGCTTTGTGGAACAAGGAGTAATATTTAAAATTGCTTTGTTTTACATGCATGTTGAATAATAATAATAATAATAATAATAATAATAATAATAATAATAATAATGCAGATTTGAGGGTGGAACTTTTGGGGGTGTTGCCAAAACGAAACGAAACATCTCCAATTGGATTCCTTGCTCTATCTCAGCCCGCACATGCCCATATTTTAGAAGGCAGTTGGCAGAATCGTACCATATTTTATAAACACTTACTTGAACTTCATTTATGGGTGATTATATTCAAGATAATTAAAGTTATACTCCTTCCCTCTAAAAATTATTTTTTTATCCATTACTCACATAGTCAAACTTTATTCACATTGTTACCAAGCTTATTTTCGTTACGCATTCCATAGAATAATATAATCATGTCACCTCTAATTTTATAGATATTTTGATGTAATTTTTAATATATACTTCCTCCGCCCCTTAAAAAATTATTCCCATTTTAAATTTTAGGAGAAGTGTGGAAGAGATATTTTTGTATTGACTTTTCAAAAATATTGATAGCTAAAAAATGACATGATAGATAAATTATTAGTAAAAAATATATGATGTGATAGGTAGAATAAGAATTAATAGGGATAAAAGTGATTTTTTAACAAAAATGAGAAGAAATTTGTGGGATAAAGAAAAAAAGAAATTAAAGGATAAGAAGTTTGGAGCGGAGAGAATAATTTTTATTATGTATTTGCTAAATTCACCACATTTTTCATACAAAATGATTTGAAAAAACTCCAGTCAAATATCATAACGCATTACGGGAAAATAATTTTTGAACAGAGGAAGTAGAACCTGACACCGCGAGGCAAAAAAGAACAAATGGAGATTAATAGTTCCAATAAGGAGTGTGGGTGTGTGTGTGTGTGTGTGTGTGTGTGTGTGTGTGTGTGTGTGTGTATGAACAATTTACCTAAATAGCACTAAAACATAATAATTTTTCTAAATAGCATCATATGTTTTTATTTTCCAATATAACACTTTTAGTCATTATCATTATCCATTATTCAAATAAATGTTTACCATCACTGGTCATTATTCCTTCTTCTAGACATTATTAAGTGTTAATTAGAAAATAAAAATATTTAACTTCTATATTGAGAAATGAATTATGTTTTACTGCTATTTAGTACAAATAATTACTCCGGGGTATAATATATTGGTGTATGCCTAACTTTATTTTAAGACTCCGTATGTATATTTTGAGGGATCGGAATTGATAACAAATGTGGCTGCTTAATTGATTCATGTTACATCCATGTATATGGATTGTGGAATTTTTATTTGAGTAAGTAAATGCGGCATGCATTAACTAGTACTATAATATGTTATGGGAGAGAGGAAGTATTAATTAAATTAAATTATGTAAACATGACATTTTATTAGTGAAATTTGCGTGCACTAAATAGGATTAAAACATAATAACTTTCCTAATGTAGGACTAAAACCTTTTTATTATCTAGATAAGACTTAATAATGACCAAGTGGAAGGAATAATGTCCAGTAATGATGGACATTTAGTTGAATAATGACTACTTATTAATGACTAAAGATCCTACATTGAGAAATAAAAACACATAATCCTATATTGGGAAAGTCATTATAATTTAGTCTTATTTAGGTAAATTTCTCATTTTACTATAATATCTTTAGACACATTTTAAATTTAAGATGACACGATTACTGACTCGAGTTGTTTTGTTTTTCAATATAGGCGATTGCAAAGGAGTTTGGAAATTGGTATTTTGGTGGGAAAAATGTACAAATTATACAAGGTTGTTCACACCCTTACCGTTGTAGTTGAATTTAAAGCCGAATCGTGCATGCATGGGCAACATCACATTTTTATGGGCTGGTGTTAATCTATTTTTTCTTCTATGGTTTTATTTATTTCTATGCATAGAAATAAATAAAACCGAAGAAACGGATTAACCCCAATGCATAAAAATGTGATGCTGCCCATCCATGCACGATTCGGCTTTAAATTCAACTACAACCATAAGGGTGTGAACAACCTTGGTTTTATTTGCTTTAGATTATTACGGAGTATTATATTATTTGTGGTATGTTATCATGTTTATTTTAATTTTAATTGCTAAGTGAAATTATGACACTCTTTCAAAAACAAATTTGATACTCTGCCTTGTTGCTTTTATTGATGATCAATATCATAAGCAAATCTATTCGGACTAGAATTTCTTCTTGGATTACGATTAAGGTTGCGTTTCGTTCGCCTAATCTAGACCTGGCAAAATTGACCCGGACCCGATGACCCGAACCGAACCCGATTTGACCCGAAAACTGAAGACCCGAAATAGAACCGAACACCCGAAATGACCAGAATCGAACCGAAACCGAACCGAATGTATTTAGACCCGATTCAGATCCGAACCCGATTTAACCCGAACCGATAAAACCCGAACCCGGTTAAACCCGGAACCGATTAGACCCGAAATTGATCAAATTCATTAATATTTCATTTATCAAATGAACTTGGAGAAAAAGAATTACCTATATACTTTTAGATATGTTGATGTGTTTCTAAAAAAACATATTTAAATTATGGGTGCAAACCGTATAACTACTTTTATGTACAAATCTTTTACTCCGTATTTTATAACTTAAGTTAAAGTATTTTTGTATTTTATCGCCTTCAAACATAAAGTTTGACCAACATCGTTTCTTCAAAAATATTAGCAAAAATATTAAAAATGATATATTTCAAGTGTTTTTTAATACCCACAATTTGGTCATAACTTTTACTCTGTATATTTTAATTTATTATATATTTTTATATATAATTATTCAAATATTTGACACACAGAGTGAAATGGATAGTTAATTAGAAATAAAGGAAGTACGAAGTAGAATGTTAACTAAAAAGATCACGCCGAAAACTTTAGAATGTAAACAACTAGTTAATTATATGTAAGTGTTATTTTTTATGTACGTCCGTGTTAAATAATAAAATAACTACGGAGTATATCATAAATTGATTAAATTTATTATGTGATATTATTGATTTATTAGTAAATATTTAAAATATATCTAAACTTATATAAACCTGAATCGATACAAACCCGAATCAATATAAACTCGAACCGATACAAACCCGAACCAAAATAAACCCGATCCGATACAAACCCGGACCAAAACCGAACCGAAACCGAAAACCAGTCAAACCGAAATAAACCCGGAACCGAACTGCCCCGAACCGACCCGAACCGATTATAACATATATCCGAATGAGACCCGAACCGGAACCGAACTGATTGACCCGATTGCCAGGTCTAGCCTAATTTGATCTCATCTAATTTTTTAAAGATCTGATCTAATCTGATCAGGTATGATCTGATTTGATTGCTGTTATAATTAAACCTATTTCTGGTATGGTACTATTTAATTTGGTTTGATCTGAGCTGATTATAATAAAAATGATTAAGTAGTAAGAAAAAGAAATAATTTGAACGAAATGCTATCTAACAAGATAATTTATGAATAAAAACTCATCACGTATCTCAATAAATCTAGCTAGTAAATTACCAATAAATACTCATGGTGATATCTATTTTATTTATCTAATAATCTATAAAAAATACATACACAAACAAAAGTTATCTAGACTTGAAATGTTAAATATGATGATATTTAATTTTAGAGAGGAAGAGTGTAAAAAATTTAAAAATAATACTCTGCCCTATAAAAAAACTGGCCACCTCGCGGAGATTAAATAAGTGTAACAATGATATGAATATTAAAAAGTGAGTGGCTACCTTTTTTAAAGAGATGAAATATTTTGGATTATTTTGTACATTTCTAAAAAATAAAAATATAAAGATTGAATTTTGTTAGCTAGACATTTTCATATAGAACATTGTGTTAGCATAATTCTTTTACACGATTGGGATGTCTACATTTCTATTACCATTAGCACGAAATTAAATATATAAATTACTATCAAATTTATTTATTTCAATATATTATATACGGAGTGTTGGCCGAGAAGACCGGATCCGGAGAAGTCCGATTTCCGAAGAGGACCGAATCCTGAAGATGACCGAATCCCATTCTAATTGGGATTGATCTTGAGCTATTTGTTTACTAGTTTGATTATTGATTTGTTTCCTTGTAGGATTTGTATTCATTGTCTATTTTGGAATTATCTTCTCCTATAAATAAAAGAGAAACCCCTTGTAATTAACAAGTCAATTCAATATACAGAATATTTTTTCTCTTATTAATTTCTACATGGTATCGGAGCAAGGTTCCTAGGAAAAACCCTAACCTAGGCGATCGCTGGCCGCCATCATGGCAGAAGCTGACGAAAATATCATCGGAAAGATCTTCCATGAAGAGGAGAAGATCCTTACGAATGGAAGTTCTTACGAACTTAAGAACGCAGACACACCCTGATTAATTATCACCCAAGTCAAATTAAACGGTGATAATTGTGAAGAATTAGCTCGTGCAATGAGAATTGCATTCCATGCAAAACGGAAAATTGGATTCATTAATGGATCCATCCCTTGTCCAGAAGAGGGAGATGAAGAGGATGAAGAATGGTGGATTGTAAATGTCATGTTGGTTTTATGGTTTTACAATACCATTGATGGCAGCCTGAGAAACTCCATCACACAGGTAGAAGAAGCAGCAGAACTATGGAAGGACATCTAAGATCGTTTCTTTGTTGCAAACGGTCCTCGAATTCATCAATTGAAGAAGGAACTTGCAAACTGCAAACAAAACGGTCAGTCCATCTTTACATACTTTGGAAAATTAAAAATAATTTGGGACGAACTTGGTGATCATGGAAATATCCCCACTTGCAAGTGTCAAGGATGCAAGTGTGGGATAAGCAAAGGTCTTGCCGTCCAAAGGGACAAAGAAAAGGTTCACCAATTTCTGATAGGATTGGATAACGAAGGATATGGGATTCTACGATCCAACATCATCGCCACAGAGCCCTTGCTGCCACTGAATCGTGTTTACTCAATCATCATCCAGCAGAAAGGGGTCTTGAAGACTACCCAAGAAGAGGAACGTAACCCGGTAGGCTTTGCTGTCACTTCTAAAATTGAGCGTGATGCAATTAAAGA